TTAATTAATTTATTTTTCTTAATATTATTTTATCCAATGTAATTTATAATGACAAAACATTAAAGAGGAATACAAATAAAGCACTTCTTGTGGGCTTTGTTGTTCAACGGAAATTATAAATTTTGGTCCATCGCTCTACAGTTTTCAAGGAAATTCCGTCCGGAAATTCCGTCCCTGGTTTCTACCGTTTCGATACAAAATTATAATATTGACAAAATGCAAACTTGAAAAATGTTTTTTTTTTTTTTTTTTTGTGAGACAAGCTAATAATGTGATAATGATAAAAACGGCGCAGATAGGTTAGTACGGGCTTTTGTAACAAACGCACACTCGTGCTGTTCTATGCAATTCCTTTGCACAATGCAAGGTTTGTTTCCCTTACTAACGCAGTGGTCAGACGAAAAAAATAATAATTTACTGATGATTTATTTTTATATATTATATGTTTCATATCATTTTTATTTTAATTTTAAGAAATGACAACTTTTACTGATTATGGACGCTTGGAGTGTGGTTCATAGGCGTCTGTTGCACAACGTAATATGTATATATTGCGAAAGCTATTGTTATCTTTGCTTGCATTGACATTCCTGCCAGGGATTTTTTAATGTCACTGTAAGTTCACTGAGTGATCTCACTATGCGATCTCTATTACATATTACAGAAACCTGCTGACTCGACAAAAATTACCAAACAATGCAACGATTTCTGTTTCCGCTTAGTCGAGCCCCTCTTTTTAAGGGTGCACGAACTTCAATCGAAGGAAAAGCAGTTCAACAAATTAACTAATACGATCAGTAAGCTTAAATCAATTATCGAGTCTTTGAAATGTCAACTAGCTCTAATTAATGCACATGAAAAACATTGCTTGACCAAAGAGGAGTTATTAGATAACATTCAAGGGGTCATAGCTACAAAAAATACTAATATAGATGGACTCAGCAAAGAATTATCAGAACTGAAATCAATACCTATCGAAAAAGTGGCAACAATAAATGATCTTAAAAATATAATAGATAAAACGGCAATGGAAATAGAAAGCAGAAATGATATTATCGAACAGCTAAACACAGAGAAAAATAATACAGATTCTGAAATATTAAAGCTAGAAACTGAAAATTCTATTTATGTTGCCAAAAAAGTTGAAAGTGAAATAAAACACAACGAATCTATAAACCCAAGCTGCATTGGAAAACAATCAAATAGATACGAAATAAAAGTGCCTGGATCGAATCCTTTTAACGTTTCCTGTTATGATTGTCTAACTTAGAGATATTACAATCCTGTCCTATTCCGATACGAATTCATTTTCAATGTTGATACCATTTTACCAATACAGCTACCATAATTACCATAGAAATGCAGTCACTTTAAATGCCAAAGGCTCAGCTTAGGTTCCTCTAAGTAGCTTCGCGCCTGTGGATTTTGGAATAATGCACTCATAATATTTTTGAAAAAATTGTAAAATCGTTTATTTTACACTTAAGTCATAGAATTGTAGGCACTACACGCTGCTTAGCCTAGCGCCAGCTGTCGTTGCAGCTAAGGCTGCATCTACATCTGCTGGTGGCTGATGGTGCATCTGTTGCATGCACACATATACAATGAATCTGCCCCAGCACGAGGCATTTTGTACAATTTTTAACTGCTGACTGTGGAACGTGGCTGCCCCCAGCAGGACGAACATTTTGCATTGACATTGGACTTGTTGTAGCAATTGGGTTAAATTCATATCACGAGCAGCAACAACGGTTAGGAGCCATGCAGATTGGGATGCTGTCCGCTGGTATTGTGCAGAGCCTTCGCCACTTCCTCCTGCAAGGTACTGGGTGGATCCGACACAATATCCGTGTGCATCGATAGGTACTTTAATTTGTTCGTAACAGCTGAAAGTAAGAAATAGAAGTTAACAAATACTTTCTTTCTTGTTTTTGTAATAAGATATACTCACCAGGTCGCAGATCTATGAGCGAACAGTGCTGATCCACCCAGAGGAAAGCGGTGCGACGCAGCTCATCCAAACTGGCGCTGGAAACGGTCGAGGTGTAAGAGGCCAACAAAGGTTCCAGAATGAGACCCAGCTATAAAGTAAAATATGTTTTGAATATCAATTTAACAATTTGAGAAATATTTGTTATGCAGACCTAAATATCATAAAAGGTTTGTGTAAGATATTGAAAACAAAGATTTTATCGATTGCAAAGAAATGGTAAAACTGTCTAGAATATTATCTATTTTTTTTCTATATAAACCCGAGTACGTATTGAAAATTTCAAGTCTATAAACCTCGTGGTTTACGTGAACAGACTCAGACGGACAAGTAGATAAGTAGTCTCTCCCTCAACAGTCTCATAAATTTACTTAAATTAGTATTAATCGTGTACCTTAACAAAAATACATGCAACATATCTTCCTATTATTATTTTCAATTAAGAACATATTCTTTATCTTAAAGTTTTCATTTAAACAGTAGTCTAATACTCTTCCATTATGATTTCTAGGGACTTAAATCTACAAAAACAATTTGAGTAGCTCAATGAATATACTGTTCTAATATCTTTGTATGCATGACGCCCTCTCACTCCCACTTACAATCCAAAACTTCCAATCGATCATCGTATGGTACCGCACATGGAACTCATATAGCTGACGCACATTCTCCGTGCCTTGCCGCGTCACAGGCGCTCCATTCGCCGGCAGCACCGAGTGCAGGTGCCTATAAATAGAAAATACTCCAATTAGCCGAGTTAAGTAAGTGAAGTGTGTCGACCTACATCAGGGAGTTATTCAGTGCATCGCGCTCCATGCGCAACGCTTCGATTTTATCCTTGAGCACGTTGCGCTCCTGGCGCAGCTGTTTGATGTGATCGGCGCCCTTTTGCAGCATCGCCGCCTTGCTCAGCTTGGCATTGGGGTTCTGCTGCAGCTGCGGGATGAGCGCGTGCAGTGTATCGAAGCCATTTTTGATGTTATAGCGCCGCTTCTGCTCGGCATGAATGTGCCCGGCGCGACGTTGCGTATCGCGCGGCTGATACTTCAGGCTGGTCGTCGGCGACAGCGGCGAGTCCTGGGAATCGTGGAACGGCGAGTCCGGCGACAGGCTCAAATTACTACCCCCCTGGCCACCAAAGCTGAGCATCTTCGCCATGGGCGGACTGTGCAGTGCCGGCGCAGCAATCGACAGCGGCAACGAGGCGGACTTCTTTGGTGAATGTTGTTGCGCTGGCACCGGCACAGACATCGGCGATGTTGCTGCATTGCTCACATAAAGCGTTTGCTGTTGCTGCTGTTGCTGCTGCTGCTGGTTGTTATTATTGTTGTTACTGCTGCTGTTGCTGTTGCTGTTGCTGACTATGGCATTGGCGGAAGAATTGGACTGTTGCGTTTTACCGGCTACGGCTGCCTGCAAGCGCGTATCTGGTGAGAGAAGAGAGTTTATAAGATAAGTCTATAATGAAGAATAATATATAAATAAATAAATTTGTATAGTTCCTAATCAAACTAAATGAAATCAAATATTTAACGAATCGATATCGAAGCCGTAAAAGTGAAAAAGGATATTCTTCAATACTACATTATATAAAGAGAAAAAAATGCGACCTATTTGTACCCTAAAACTACTGGGCCTGAAGAAAATTTAAATAGAATAGTAAAAGGATAAAATATCGAAACCATCAGGCCAAAATTTGGAAATGTAAAAATTTATATACATGAACTATTATTAATATACTACTATTGAATAGCTGAATTTAGATAAGGTTTATAATCCATGACATTAAATCGGGAATAATTAATGCTTTACAGGATCCTACAAAATTTCAAGACTTTAGCTTATAGATCCTGAGATTGACGCGCTCATACATATTGGGTTCATCATATATCTAAACCGTATCATACATAATTTGTAAATGTTGTCAACTAACTTGAGGTCAGCAGCTGGGCGAGTGTGCTGTTGAGCATTGGATCGCTGGTGGCCTGTTGCATTTGCTGTGTAATCAGCAAGTTGCTGGTGCTGCTGCTGCTGCTGCTGGCGTGGCCATTGTTGACGGGTGAGCCACCGCCGGCAGCGACAACCGTATGCTGTTGATGCATCGAATTGCTGCGCACACGGGATTTGCCCTTCACGTGATACTTGGGCACAATGAACTGTTGCTGCTGCTGCTGCTCGTGATGAAGGGGCTTGGGCAGCGACACATTCAGCGGCAAGCTATTGGAACGATGCATCTCCTTGGGCAAGAGGGTGGTTTGGTTGGGCGTGGCCCAGGAGGCGACGCTGACAGCGGGTTGCTGGGGCAGCAGCAGACTGGAGACAGTTTGTTGTTGCAGCTGCATATGTTGTTGCTGCTGCTGCTGCTGTTGTTGTTGTTGCTGCTGCTGCTGTGTGTTGGCTGCCTGTTGCTGGCGTGTTAGCTGCATGATTTGCTGCGGACTTAGTCCCAGGCTCAAAGGCAGCGACTGTTGCATCTGCAATTGCTGCTGTTGCTGTTGTTGCTGTTGGTCCTGTTGCATGTAAGTTTGTTGTTGCGACTGTTGCTGTTGCTGCTGGGAGACACGTGGCACGTTCAGAAACGTGCCCGTCGATGCGGACTTTTTAAACTGCGGATATGGCTTGTAGCTAATGGAGTTGTAGGAGCTGTCGTTCAGCAAAGACATAACATCTGTTTGATGTGGTTCCACCTTGACGCTGAGCTGCTGCTGCTGCTGTGTGGACAACTGTTGCTGCTGCTGTTGCTGTTGCTGCTGATAACTGTCTGCATAGGTACTTAAGAAACTTTGCGTATTGTAAGCGTTTTGTTGCTGCTGCTGTGTGGGAAAGAGCAAGCGCGGCTGTTGCTGTTGTTGTTGCTGCTGCAACAGTTGCTGTTGCTGCTGTTGCTCTTGGGGCGTCTGAAACGGCTGCAATACAGCACCACCACTCAAATGCTGCTGCTGCTGTTGTTGTTGTTGTTGCTGCTGTTGCTGCTGTTGATTCTTTTGCTGCTCGGCCAGCAGCTGCTGATAAATTGTCGTCTGATGCAGCGTCGGCTGCGCCTTATCATAGTTGTGCGGCTCGCGTCGTATGAGACGCTGCGTATTCTTGGCGATGCGCCCATTGATGACGCTCTTGCTGGAGAAACTGTCGTTGGGGGAGCAACGACTGCTGCTATCACTGCCGCCGATCGCGCCAAAATGTTTGCCCGCATGCAGACGCGTCGGCTGACTGTCGTTCAGCAAATGTTGCTGCTGCGTATCGCTGACAGCTTGCTGGCGCGCCGACACAAACTGTTGCTCAATGTCGCCGTAAGGCATGTTGCCAATGGGCGTATTCAGCTCCAACATATTGGCATCCACTTGAGCACTGCCGCCGCCACTGTTGCTGGCCACCACCTCCATCATGTTGTCGTTGGTGTAGAGCGTGTGCGGAGCACCTACGATCGCCTGCAGGCAATAGTCGTCGTTCTTGAGCATCTCCGCATCGGTGCCCTCCTCGGGCACGGGTGGCAAGCGTGAGCCGGTTGTGGTGAGCAAATCTAAGCAAAACAAGAACAAATATAATTATCTCTCTAAATTAATAAATAATTATATAAATCCTATATACCTGACAAGGTAAGATCGATATCATCTAAATTCGGTTGCAAAGGCCCCAGACTTGGTTGTATAAAATCCGCAATGCCTGCACCGCGTGCTGAAAGTTATGGGATATAGAAATAATTATATATTTCAATATTTAAATTGAGTACACTCAATGCTTACCAATCTCTCTGGAATCTGGAAATGGAAATGGTCCATTTATTGCCGAGAACAATGTGTCCGTTGTCCAGTCCTCTGGCATTAAATTTCTATCGTTCAGCGGAGACCATTCCAAAAAGTCCAATTCACTTTTCTGTTAAAAGTAAATTGAAATTATGAGAATAATTTGATTGAGTAGTATGTATTTAAAATATCTTACATAAGTATATCATAATAAATATAGACAAATA